CGGACAATTGCTTTTAGGATCCTGTTGTGTAAGTCAATGTCACATTTCAGGTATCGAATATTTCACGTGTTGTTGGATTTGTTCTATAGATGTAAGGACTTCTTTTCACCTATTATATCATGGTTGCATCCACGAAATCCACAGGGGATAATGGCATTGGTGACAATTATTGCTTTTTTGTTGAGACGATACACAAATGTAAAATTGAGGGCTGAAATGGCTTATAGAAGGAAATTTTGGAGAAATATGACGAGAAATGCATTGACATATGAAGAGTGGGCTCATGCTGCTAAGATGCTTGATAAAGAGACCCCAAAGATGAATGAATCGAATCTGTATGATGAGGAACTTGTGAGAAACAAGCTTCAGGAGCTCCAGCGTCGTCGTGAAGACGGATCTCTGAGGGATATAATCTTTTGCATGAGAGCTGATCTTATCCGAAATCTCGGTAATATGTGTAACCCTCAGCTTCATAAAGGAAGGCTTCATGTGCCTAATCTCATCAAGGATTATATTGATGAGGTCTCGACTCAGTTGAGAATGGTTTGCAACTCTGATACAGAGGAGCTCTCCTTGGAAGAGAAACTTGCTTTTATGCATGAAACAAGGCATGCATTTGGTAGAACTGCTTTGCTTTTAAGTGGGGGTGCTTCTCTTGGAGTATTCCATATTGGTGTCATTAAAACACTAGTAGAGCATAAGCTTTTACCCAGGATAATCGCTGGTTCTAGTGTAGGATCCATTATGTGTGCTATTGTTGGCACCAGGTCATGGCCTGAGCTGCAAAGTTTCTTTGAAGACTCTTGGCGCTCGTTGAAGTTATTTGATCAGCTGGGTGGAATATTTGCTGTTGTTAGGAGGGTCATGAGACAAGGGGCTGTTCATGATATCAGGTACATGCAATGGATGTTAAGACACCTCACAAGTAATCTTACATTTCAAGAAGCTTATGATATGACTGGACGGATTATTGGGATAATGGTTTGCTCTCCAAGGAAGCATGAACCACCTAGGTGCCTTAATTACTTGACTTCACCTCATGTTGTCATATGGAGTGCAGTAGGCGCTTCTTGTGCCTTCCCTGGCATTTTTGAAGCTCAGGAGCTAATGGCAAAAGATAGGAGTGGAGAACTTGTTCCTTATCATCCTCCCTTTAATTTGGATCCTGAAGAGGGTTCTGGTGCATCTGCACGTGCACGCCAGTGGAGGGATGGCAGCTTGGAGGTTGATTTACCTATGATGCAACTGAAGGAGCTGTTCAATGTCAATCATTTCATCGTGAGTCAGGCAAACCCTCATATCATACCATGGTTGAGGATGAAGGAGTTTGCAAGAGCCATTGGTGGTAACTTTGCGGCAAAGGTATGTGTATGTGGTTAAGAAAGAAAAAAGAATCCTTTTATCTGGGTTCATATTTTCTTTTCATCATTGTTTTATATACTTATCGTTGTCTATTTCTTTTAGTTGACTATCTTACATGTCTGTGTTCAGAGTTGAGACATGAATGAAAATCTCTGACCTTAACTGCACATGGCCTTCTAGTTTCTCTCTGATGCATAGACATGCACCCACATATAGAAAAGTAACTAATCTTACAGTTTAAATAGTTATATCAGGCAATTTCACTCAAATGCTGTTTTATATGGTTGAGTGGAGCTGTGGAGTCATTCTTAGAATGTCATTTTGTTGTAGTGCATTTTTGTAGGAACAAAATGATCTGAATGTACAGTATTACATTTTATTTTGAGGTTCTGTCATGGTTTAATAAATAGAGCTGAAACAAAGAAGCTTCTGAAAGAATGCTTATGCGTGTATTTAAAATACTTGATCTATTATGAATCTTGCTAGTCATTACAATATCTGTCTGTTTGCTTTTCCTATTATCTGCATGCTGAAATGAAGTAAACTAGTTTTATTGTTTCAAATTGTAGCTTGCACACCTAACTGAGATGGAGGTTAAACATAGATGTGGTCAAATACTCGAACTAGGATTTCGGATGGGGGGACTTGCCAAGATATTTGCTCAAGATTGGGAAGGCGATGTTACTGTTGTTATGCCAGCCACAGTTTCTCAGGTATGTTCAAAATTATTTTAAGGCTTGCCTTTGGTGACATTCAAATTAGAAAATGGTGAAAGCTTGAGCACTGGCATTCAGTGGCATTCAAACCTAGATTTGTAGCAGGGTGACTTCAACTTTTATGTATAATCCGGGTCTATCTATGCTGTTTTTCATATTCACATCATTCAATAATCTTTTCAATGGTGACCGACTGTATTTTTTTAATGGTTTTAACTGTTAACAGTACTTGAAAATTCTTCAAAACCTTACTCTTGTGGAGCTTCAAAAGGCAGTCAACCAAGGGAGTAGATGCACTTGGGAGAAGCTTTCAGCTATGAAAGCAAACTGTGGCATTGAGCTTGCCCTTGACGACTGTGTTTCAATTCTTAACCACATGCGTAGGCTTAAACGGAGTGCTGACAGAGCCGCCGCTGCTTCTGCTTCATCTCATGGCCCCACCAACACAGCCAGATTCAGTGCTTCGAAGAGAATTCCTTCTTGGAATTGCATTGCTAGAGAAAACTCAACAGGTTCCCTCGAAGAAGATCATCTCTCAGATATTACCACATCTTTGCATCATGGAGTAGGGGGTTCGTCAGGAATGCCAACTCCTGGGAGGAGTTTGCGAGCTCACTGCAGTGCATATGATGGAAGAGATAGTGAGTATGAAGGTGTAAACATACATTCTTGGACAAGATCCGGTGGCCCGTTGATGAGGACCACCTCTGCAAATTTGTTAATCAATTTTGTCCAAAATCTAGATGTTGGATCTGAAGTGTGTTGAGACCGTCGGCGCACCCCACGGCGCAGTGGAAATAAAAACTCGACGGTCTCACCAATGATCTAAGAACGTAAAACCGAAATCGGGAGGAAATGATGCAAATAGTTATAATGGATTCCTTGAAAAACAACAAAGACAACAACGACTAGTGGTGATCACAAACGGTTCAAATCGAAAACCTCCACGAAAACACGTCTCGCCATCTACTTAGTTCACATGATTGAGAGTAATTTTTTTTCCCAAAATCAATTTTGAGAAAAAGGGTTGCTAGACCCTATCTCATTTTAAATATATCAGTTACTCTAACATATTAGGAATTTTAAGTTATTTCGAATTAATACTAATAAAAACATATTTAATTAATTCAAATTAAATATACATTAAATACTTATAATCTGAATTAAAATCTTTAATGTTTATTTAAAATCTTATTTAATTATTCCAAAATAAATATTAATTAAAGAGTTATAATCAAAATTACATTCATTTAATGTTTACTTATTATATTTGAGATAATTAAAATCATATATATATCAAATATAAACATATATTAACTCTAGATATATTTTAGAAACATACAACAAATTGTATATCTTTGCTCATTTTAATCTTAGGGTGTGACTTTGTGGGTTCTTTTAACGTTAGTAGTAATTATTAGAACAATTCTAATATTACATACAATGAGTGACATCTAGCAATATACCATTGTCACCTAAGTTACAAAAAATTATTAGAACAAATTGTCACATAATAATTTAAGACATATGCTCATGGTGGGTCAATCCAATACATTGTTCTCCAACCGTATAATCATGTATCAATTCTGACATCTCTATGTCAATGACAAATCGTTGTCATCAATCAATAACATATGTTAGTCTTAAGCGCATTTTATTGTCTATGCACATAATAATACTTGACTAGGGATCTTTTAATAATAACAATTATGTTATTATATGGACTTTATTATCTTCCAGTTTATGTTAAACACATATGTATAACTAAAAATAATAGTGGCAATGTCTTTATTCAATAAAATCGATAAATAAATGTATTATTGCAATCATCATATGATTGATCTTTGGGCATGTTATAACAAAGTGAACAAAGGTCTGATGGCTCATCCTAGTTCTCCTGGATTTCAGATGGCGGTGGGGATCCTTTTAGTCACAGCCCAAGGATGACAACAAATAGAGGTTCAGAACAAGAGTTGGGTCAGAGGAATTTCGTGAACAGGGCACATGTTAATGGTTCAAGCATTATGGTCTCTGAAGGTGATCTCCTGCAGCCTGAAAGGCTCCATAATGGACTTATACTCAACATCGTCAAGAAAGAAGACTTGGCACTCTCAAGTAGAAGCTCCGGTTCAGAAAATTGTAGCACTGAAGTAGCTGAATGTCTGCAACTGGATTGTCCAGAGAAGGATGATAACTCGGTATCCGAATATGGCAACGACGATGATGCTAATGCAGCTAACAGCCTGAGTCAAACAGTTGCTACTGAAAATCCCAATACATACCCTAGTGTCCATGATGGCGATAATCAGGGGGGTGTTGTCGATGGTTAATTTTAAGATGAATCTGATACTTGCCAAGTTGGCAGGGCTATTTTTGGGGGTAACAAGTTGGCTCCTGGCATATTGAATGTCAAGCAGTTGACAACTTTCATTTTGACTTGTTTAGAGAGAAATTTTACTATGATTAATTATTTTTTTATTTACCATTTTAATTTTGTACGACATAAAAGTATTGTCCCCATTATTTTTTGCGTGCTCAATTTCATCCCATTGTGGAGAATATTGTAGGAAGAAATGAACTACTTAATTTTCATTACAATTCTTTTCCTTAGCCTCATATATCCACAATTACTATATAGATGAGTTTGTTATCATTTAAATTGAGAAATTCTGAACTAATTATTTACATAATCTTTATTAAAGAGGTGTCATTTTAATAAATAATATTATTTGAATATTTGTGTACCATTCTGATTAAAAAACGTTGATTCGGTATTATTTCCATAATATTACCTTGAACTGAAGTAAACACGTGGAGTTCCATGCATCCATAAAACGAACGTGCTCTCTCCACTCTCGTACAGCAATGACAAATGAGGATTTATTGTATGAATTTATCTTCTTCTTTTTTTAAAAAAAAAAGGAATCCACACTTCCCTTTGTCGTTGAGGGCAGACCACACAAGCTTTAGCTATTGCCACATATATCTTCTTTTTTTCATGAAGCTCCAAAAATGAGGCATACCTCAATTTTCTCTACATTTCTTCAACTAATTTCCCTGTCTTGGTGAGTCTCTTCTTCTTCTTCTCACTCTTCAATATTCCTTTTCCAGATTCAATGCCTTAAGCTCAATTCTAGCAGTAATGACCTAGAAGTGTATTTTTAAGAAATATTTTTTGGATTTGAGTAAGGCACTTTGTTGGAACTCCATGGATAATTTACTTAGAACTCACAGCAAGCTTGAATTTTCGCGTCTTCTACTCCATGGGTTCTCTGAGAAAGCTTGTAATAAAACCCAGGAGGTTAAGTTTGGTCCCAAGAAATCCTGTTTGAGAAGAGGTATGGATAATAATGGTTGTGTTAAGATTAAGGCAAGTAGAGGTGCTCTTTTGGAGTTGGTTCCTGAAACTAAGAAGGAAAATTTAGAGGTTGAGCTTCCTATATTTGATCCATCAAAAGGTACTGTGGTGGATTTAGCCGTTGTGGGAGGTGGCCCTGCTGGTCTTGCTGTTGCTCAGCAGGTTTCGCAGGCGGGGCTTTCGGTGTGCTCCATCGATCCATCTCCGACTTTGATTTGGCCTAATAACTATGGTGTTTGGGTGGATGAATTCGAAGCTATGGATTTGCTTGATTGCCTCGATACGACTTGGTCCGGTGCCGTTGTGTATATTGATGACCATAAAAAGAAACATCTCGATAGACCTTATGGAAGGGTTAACAGGAAGCAGCTCAAGTCCAAAATGTTGCTAAAGTGCATATCCAACGGTGTAAAATTTCACCAGGCAAAGGTTATTAAGGTTATTCACGAGGAATCAAAATCCATGTTGATTTGCAATGATGGTGCCACGGTTCAGGCTACCGTTGTTCTTGATGCGACTGGATTTTCGAGGTGCCTTGTTCAGTATGATAAGCCTTATAATCCAGGCTATCAAGTGGCCTATGGAATTTTGGCCGAGGTGGAAGGACACCCTTTTGATGTAGAAAAGATGGTTTTTATGGATTGGAGAGACTCGCATCTTGCCAACAGTAAGGAGTTGAGGGAGAGAAATAGTAGAATTCCCACATTTCTATATGCAATGCCCTTCTCGTCGAACAGAATATTTCTCGAGGAAACTTCTCTAGTCGCTCGACCTGGAGTGCCTATGGATGATATCAAGGAGAGAATGGTGGCCAGGTTAAGGCACCTAGGAATAGAAGTTACGAGCATTGAAGAGGACGAGCACTGTGTTATTCCGATGGGCGGTCCCCTTCCAGTGCTACCCCAAAGAGTTGTGGGAATCGGTGGCACAGCTGGGATGGTGCACCCTTCGACAGGGTACATGGTTGCAAGAACTCTTGCAGCTGCTCCAATTGTTGCAGATGCCATAGTTAGATGCCTTGATCCCGGAAGGAACTTGGTGGGAAACAAATTGTCAGCAGAAGCATGGAGGGATTTATGGCCCATAGAAAGGAGGAGACAAAGGGAGTTCTTCTGTTTCGGCATGGATATTTTGCTTAAGCTCGATTTACCAGCAACGAGAAGGTTTTTCGATGCATTTTTTGATCTGGAACCCCATTATTGGCATGGATTCTTGTCATCTAGGTTGTTTCTTCCCGAGCTCATAACATTTGGGCTTTCTCTGTTCTATCATGCCTCAAATACTTCCAGGTTAGAGATTATGGCCAAGGGAACTCTTCCTTTGGTCAGCATGATCAATAATTTAGTGAAGGATAGAGATTAAGATGATCAGGATATATCCATTTATTGCATGCTTAAATTTGTTGGTTGGGTTGCATTTTACTAGTTTTTTCCCTATAAATGTTTATAATAAACTTCGAATTTGTTTCTATATAATTATGATAGTTACATTATGAATTATGAGGAAGAAAGAACACTGTAATTTCTTACAGAACAGAATATTATTAAATTTCTTCATTTTTGTACTCACATACATGTTGGATCAAAGCCATTCATGGTCTCTTGCATGTTGTTCTGAAAACATGAAAAGCCAATTTTTATTTTTGTTTTTAGAAATCGTTTTACAAATTAAATGAAAAAATGAAAATGAGTTACAGCGTGAAACGAAACAACTCTTTAAGACAATAAACCACAGAGGAAAATGTGGCCAACGCTGGGCAACAATGGTGGCAGGACAAAGTATACTATAAAGAACCAGAAGATTATTGGGGGAGAAAACACACAGACAGAGATGACTGAAAGCACACTCTTTTAAAGGACTGGTTTCAAGGAGTTCACTGATTTTAATGTCGGTTCTGCGGCAACGAGAAATAAGCCTGAGTAGCAGAGAAAAGAAGCCCTATAATGGCACCCAAAAAGGCAAGGATACTCCATGAGCTACTAAAATGGGTGTAATAGGCATAAGCCAGGGCAGCCGTCCATGGATTGTTGCAGCACTTATGAATGTCTTTTACCACATCAGAGTACCACTGCTGGTCAGGCACCAAATCCCTGCTCATTTTATTGAAAAGATCAGCCACCTCTTCGTCGCTGCCCAAGTAGTTGTGAAGCATTACCGTAACTCGCTGCTCCTTAACATCGTCCGCTGTATCGATGAGGGAGTTGAGGAAGCATAAGTAAGTGGTAATCCACATCAGAGTACCACTGCTGGTCAGGCACCAAATCCCTGCTCATTTTATTGAAAAGATCAGCCACATCTTCATCGCTGCCCAAGTAGTTGTGAAGCATTCCCGTAACTCACAGCTCCTTAACATCATCCGCTGTATTGATGAGGGAGTTGAGGAAGCATAAGTAAGTGGTAATCTCAAATTCGTTCCTGAAATCCCGGCACGTTTCTAAAGCCACCAAGTTCAGGAACTTGGAGACTGTCGAGTCATCCACCAAGAGGTGTGGCATCATCAGTTTTCCCAGAAACTTACAGTAGAAGTAAATGTTCTTGAGGTTGATCGTCTGGGTGGGCTTCACATGAATCCCTGATTCTCTAAGCTCCTTGATGCTATGAAAGGTTTTCCCGTGTCTTTGACTATCTGCACAATACAGAAGCATATTTCCGATCGTGCTACTCTCCCTCTTAACTTCGTCTCCTACCAGGTGCTCCGCCCGTAACCACTCCAGGAGGTGAGCATAATCTTCCCTATCTGGAACTTTTACTGTACTTCTCTTGTGCTCACCTGGTATGTTTGTTACAAGGTTCTGAGCTATGAAGCCTTTGAGAGACTTTTTCCACTTTTGGGGATCATTGGCTGACTCAATCAGTATCTGGAGGACTCCGTAATGAATTTGGTTTTCTAGCAAAAACAAATCAAGTTGCGCAAATACCAGAAGATCTGGTTTAGTATTCAACTTGTCAAATTCACCTTCCATTCAGCAGTTTACGGCATGCAACACCGCACAACCGTCTATGAAAAGCATCCATGCTAGCTTCTCGTAGTCATAGTCTTTAATGTCGTCCGGCTTAAAACACTTCCTCAAATCTTATATCTCGGCCTTAATCTTACCGAACAGACTATTGTCAGTAGTTCTGTTCTCAAGGGCAAAGAAAGCGGCAAATTGAAGCTTCGAGACCTCTGCACTCTGGAACTTGGGGTCACCATGATGCAAGGGGCCGAGAGATACCAGCCTTGGCTCGAAACATTTCTTAAATTCCAGCGTCATGTGAGTAGGACCGGTGGAACTCTTTGTATTAACGGTTTGGTTCTCTGAGATGACGAACCTCCTCCCTGGTTCTGAAAACCATCCATTGCTGACTTAAATTCCTGGCTCTTTTTCTTAATGAAATCCGATTTCTCAGCCTCGGGAATATTAATTGTATGATCCACCGGCTGGCCCTAGTTGCTCGTCATTTAGTATGTAGGGAAATTTGGAAATCTAATAGCAACAGTGCTTGCTGAAGGTGGCTGAAGGAACAAAGGATGAAAGGATCAATGAGAAAGGTGTGTAGGCTTATTTGTTTCTGGACATAGCTACAAGCTGCTGAATTAAAAGCTCTATAAAATAATAGCTTAATTTGGCTTCGAATTGATCCCATCATCTTTGCACTTTATTATGGTAACAAGTTTGGTATATAGATATATATTTAGTACATGTATGCTTTATACTTCCTGAAACAGTGACTGTTAAGACTTCATCCATGAAACTTGGAATAAATCTTTCTAATTACCATGATTTCTTTTTATCTGTACATCCTAATGTACCACTTTCTAGTCCCCTTTGTTGCTTGGGATGGAAGGTAATAATAACTACGTTCATTAACAAGGATGCAGTAAACGGTGATTTGGATGATGTTTGATCCTATATTAGAGTTTTATCATGTGTAGGTTCGAATTTTTAAATTTCGTGTTGAATTAAAGTTGTATTCTAAATAAGTTTCGTTAAGATTGATCGTGATTTAGGTATGAATCGATGTATATATTTATACTGAATATAGTTGTAAATTATTGCTATGTATGTTTCTTGAAATGCTGTTATGTACTTTAGTTAACTAGAATGTGAAGTTTAGTATATTCGTACCTTTTTCTTACAACGATGTCTTGAGTTGAACATTCCCTTCTCTTACTGGTCGTATGATATTTGGGTTAGGTTAGATTTTAGGATAAATAGGCCTCTGGTGGCAGTTGAGTCAGTTTGGGATTGGGGTGTAATGGTAATGGGTTGACAGAAAGGGGTTTCAGTTAAGTATCGGGCCCATTGATTTAATTTGAACCGGATAAATTAAAAAGCTTAATAAAACTTACTATCCAAAGGGTTGCCATTTGAAATGCTCCAAGTCCAAGCACACATTTAAGCAAATTTATACATATTTGTCTACACAAATAAAACTGAAACATATTAGATCATATCGTAACTATACTTACTTGATCCATTTTTTTTTAAATATCTCGAATCATCAATTTACTTGAAAATCTTTGTTTTTTATTTTCGATTTCAATTTATTCAAACATTATTTTCTTAACAAAATCCACGTTCAAAGACACATCCTTGATGTAAACCCAAATTCAACATAAACATTAAATTGTCCTGAACTCTTACAGATGATTTAGGGTTTAGAAAATAATTTTACATCGATTAACCTTTAGAAAAACGACACCAAATGGAAGAATAAGACTTTAACTCTTGAAATCTCGTTTCGATTTGAATTTAAACCCTTAAATTCTATAATTCTAAATACATTTAGTTTAGGGTTTGATTATTGTAATTCGGAACAAGGAAGGTATGATATCTAAAGACGGGATCTTTTTAAATATGTAATTAATTTGAGAATTTAACTATTAATTTAATTTAATCCTAAATACTGGTCAATCTTTCATTGACATTAATAATTGATGATCAGCATTGACTGACCATTATACAACATGGACCATATATTATATAAATTCAGTTTAGGGCTTTGATTCTTTTAATTCGGAATAAGGAACAAAGAATACTAAATGATATCTGAAAATAGAACCTTTTTAAACATATAATTAATTTGAAGTTTTGACTATTAATTTAATTTAATCTCAAATATTGATCAATCGTTAGTCGATATTAATAATTGATGATTAGCATGGACTGAACATTATATAACATTGATCATGTACCCATATCTCCAATGGATACCAAAGTATAAAAGTTCCGAACGGATATCCCGAAATTCTAAGGGGGCTAGAGTTTTTAAATTGAAATTTTTCTAACGAAATATCAAAATTATGGGCTTGATTGATTTTTTTAGCCTAATTTAAGGGCATAAATAATTTAGTCGAAAGTTGGATAGTATACTTAATTTTAATTGAATGTTCTAGGATCTATTTAATTTAAAAATAAAAATTTATTAAAATAAATAAAAATATTAAAATTTATAAAATAATAAACAATAAATTATTTAAAGAAAAAAGTTTAAAAACATTTATAAATAATTTCATTGAAAATATCTTTAATTGTATTTCTAGTACCATTCTTTAAACATATTTTCAATGAAATCAAACTGCATTATATAATATTTAAAAATATAAAAAATTTTAAAGAAAATTATTTATATTTTAATTATATAATTATTAAAAAAAAATAAAGAATATTATATATAAAATATTCAGACTTTCACTAGAAAAGTCTTCGACTGTCTCGTCAGCATGAGTCTACTATTATTCCTTAAACATATATTTAATAGATTAACATTGTGTTAGAGTAACAATAAAACTCAAATGCTCTTTCGATTTGCTATCGCAAATTATACTCATTTATATTATTTTACCTCATTAATCTTATTTAATATGGAGCAAATTAAAACTCATAAAATGATCTCAGTGGTAAAAAAAAATATTCTCCTTAAAGATTTTGAGTTCAAGTACGAGTGTATTATCAATTGATTAAGAAATTTATGAATAAATATTACCTTATAATCACCTCATACTATTAGAAAAATAGATAAAATCAAGTCATTTTATATTGTTGTATCAATTATATCATAAATTAAGATACAAGATTAATACTAATTTAGTGTAAACTCTATCCATCATTTTTTAACATGGATAGACCCATAAACATACGAAAATTAACGGACCAAGTACTCCACTTAAACTTTTTTAGAAAGAAAATATCTGATAATTTTTATCAAATAAACAAATCAATGAATTCAATATGTCAAATCAAATATTTTTTTTATTAATAATTAATCAATCTAGTGAAATAAGATAATAAATCTCTTAAACAAAATCAAGAGTTCAAATCCTCGTATTTACATAGCAAACAAATTGAATAGGAAGAGTTATCTATAATGAATCTATAAAAAATCTAATTTAAAATAGTTTATCATTATATAGAATTTTGATAGATAAAAAACCAATTACATTCTTATTCATAGAATCATATCCCATTGATGATTAGATTGGTTGTAATTAGGGATGAGCATGGGTCGGTTTGGGTTAGGTTTCAACAAACTCGATCAGGCTCGAAAATTTATATCCTTCGTTTGATCTGATCCAACCAA